AACCTGCGTTGAGTGTGGTGCACCACTTTCATCAACTGTTGAAAAGACACCGACACCGCAAGAATATGATTCTCACATATCATTGAAATTGCAATCAAATCGCTCAACGCGGTGGCAGACTACTCTGCCCGTTTTGACCATGGTCACTAGTCACGGTCACCGTCTCTTTCATGAGGATTGAAGTGGTTCAACAGATGCCGCAATAATGGGCTTGTCACTGTGGCAAACAGTCATATTCTGATGCTGCCTCTACTAATACTTCTGCTACCTGTCGGTACAGACACTATAAACATACCCCCAAATCCAAGGTGTTGGTTTTCTATCTTTGACGGAAATCAAAAGTCTGGCCCTTGTTGGAAAGCCCAGAATAGAAACCTGAGCCCAGTTTCCGGGAAAACTAAGTCATTTCTACCGTGGCTCACGAGCTAGATCCTCGTGATCGCCACCCACCTCGCGTGATTGCAATGCTACTATCACACCGATGAGACCCCAGATACAAATAGCACCCAACGGACCAATCAAACATCGCGCGTGAATTTAGACAGACACGGGTACGGCACTGCGATGCAGATTCCTGCGGCGACCCGCGGGACAGTAGATCAAGGAGGATCATTTTGTGGCCCCGGGGAAGAGACTTGAAGGATTTGCAAGGGTCCAGACACGATCAAAAACCTAGTCTTGACGGGCCGTCAGAGTACGGATGGAACAGGTCTTTGCTGCCTGGGAGGTCGGTTGGGGCAGACGAGGGATTTGGAATATCATACAGACTTTTTGCAACGAGATCCGATCCGCGGTTTAGTTACGCTCGCAAGGGAGTGATTGGTCCTCCGTCGAGGGGGAAGCTGCTGCTTTCTCTATCTGGTTTATAGAACGATCTAGAAGTTATGTTTCCTGTCCTGCGTAAACCTTCCCGTAGAAAGTATACTCTCTTTGAGCCCGACCCATCCTCTCCATCTGTGAAATTCGATCGCCAGTCTGAGATCTCTAGTAGATAGCTTGTAGAAACTATGGTAAATATGTAAGGACAAGATGATAGATCCAAACAAAGTCTCCAGTTTGTGCACTAGCGATTGGCTTCCGGGTATGGATCGACGTTGTGGGCCGGCCCTCCTGCGGCCCCTAACTTTTTCTCAATCACCCCACGCATCTTGATCATGACTGTATCGACGAAGAATCTTTCTAATACCATGTTGGTCTTTTCCAATTTCCCTTCCCTCATTCGAACGGGATGCTGGCGATTTTGCCCTAATACTCATTTCTTTTGGGCTGTAGGGCTTAATCACTAGAAAGCAAGTGTGGCAGAAGCCTGGGCCTGAATCCTTCATGCCGACCGCATTCTCTCACCGAGCAGGGGATTCCATGGGTCGTCCAAACTGAGTATTCGGAATTACCTGCGGTTCCACTAATGATCGACGGTTGTGCTCGTGATTCCACGGTCCATGTCGAATCTACTTCCTCGTGACTCAGACGTGGGTCGGAAACAAATCGTACACTTCACTCTGAACACTATCTGTTTTCGACCATCGATCCAATCAAATCCAAGCAGGCGTATTACCTTGAGCCAACAAGCATCTAGATATTTTCCAATTTCAGAACCCGCTTGCTACTATCTCCTGTATCCCTATGGGACCACTGATAGTATCGTGAATCTTTATACGCTGTCCGCAGTATTTTGCAGGCCGCATCTCAGTTCGATGAAATTCTCCTGGTTTTGCATGACAAGAATGAAATGGGATTGATGGACCTGTTCCAATGGCACCACTATCATGCTCGAATTCTTACCTTTGACTTTGAACTTCCCCTTTACTGTTGGCATTACAAAGGGCGCTTTCTTTTTTCCGTACGGAATACATGGAATGATAGGCAACCTCGATTGTATTTCTCACGCTGAGACTTCATTGCTATCGCAGCCTTTATCATAGTAATATGTACTAGGACTAGTATATCAAAATAGCTGGCCGCTGTTCCTTCGACATCGCAATGTAGCGCTGCAGCCGATAAAATACTGCTAAATTGTACGCTCCGTTCGCCGGTATCTCAGCTCCCTGGCGGCACAGACGCGATGCACATAGTCCCACCTCCAGGATGACGACCGTATTCTTTTAGGCCGGTACGGAAGCGATGCTGGCGTCACGCGGTCTATGCTGGACCCGAACAGATCATACTGATTTCTTCTCTGGGCCACAAATTCAAATATACTTGATCCGCTATCCCTTGTGCCGCCGATGGGATTCCAATGGTCGATCCGTATTCAAGCGCAGAATTTCTCACCTCCTAACGGATCATTTCACACCTACGTATTGCTAGACACACGTCAACAACACGTCGTATTTCGACATCACGAGATTTAAACCAATGAGTAGATATCATCTGAATTCAACTTGCAAGAACCATTCCACTTCCAAATTGTACATTGCTTCAATCCGATGGAGAACTTTCTGGGTGTGTTTCGGTAGCAACATGAATCGGTCTTTCAGACTTTCGAGGTGCAGTTTTGGCAAAGAAGCTTGGTGTTTGACATTTCGTCTTGACTGCGCTCGAGGGCGCTCTGACTTTGGGAGTCTATCTTCCAGGAACTTCAGTAGACGGCGAAGCTTCTCCACGCTCGAAAGTCCACCGATACAGAGAGAGAATTCAATGGCGACGCGGGTCATGCGCAGGAGAGATTCACGATCCTGTGAAAGACGGTGGACAGCAGCGTGGCGGATGCCGGAAACCAATCTTTGCCACTTTTGTATGGTTGTAGCTGCTTGACGACAAGAGCTACACCGTATCTTGTCCCGATGTTCCACCAAGAATCTGAAAAGCCTGTTTAGCTCCAGTTCCTCCGGGCATGTCCACCCAACCATGAGAGACTCCTCCAAGAGCCATTTGTGAACGAATTGAAATGCATCGAATTCGAGATGTCGCTGTATGGCTTGGAGAATAAGATTCTGTGCGCGGAAAGGGATGCTTGTCATTGGAACTCCGAGAAGTGAGTATAGACCGTGTAGGACTGTTGTTCGAGCCCGTAGATTAGTCGGCGCGCTCCTAAATTTGTAGCTTGAACTTACTGAAGATGGTATCGATCTTCCCCCGGTAACTTTCAATCAATTGTTTTACTAATCTGAGGGCAGGGCGTTAGTAACAACTGTTAAATTGTGACGACTGATCATGAGTTCTTACCGCTTATTCACAGGCTGAGATAGCCAAGAAGATCTGGCTGAAGTGCCTCCGCCCAAATGCCGGCTTACTGTGAGAGAAACAGTGCTAATCTCGGGCTGGCCTTGTTTGTTGGTCGCTGTATCATTCTGATTCCACTCCATAGAGGCACTTGGATGCGGTCGCACTTCACAAGATTCGCGGCGCGGAAAATTCATGGCTGTCAAAGCTTGGTATTCCGGGACTTTTTTCACCTGTAAATGGAATTTTCCTTGTCGCTGGCGCCGACTTTGGTGCCTTGAACGTGCCATCCTGGAAAAATTGACAAGGCGATGGATCTCTTGGTGGGGAGAGCAACCGGAATACTAATCAGACTGGCGTTTGACAAATAAGTTTTCGTGTGCCTGAGCGAAGTAAGGTTTGTAAATTAAGGGATCCATGGAAAAGTTGTCTGCATGCGACCAGGGTACCAGCAGAGTGTAATAGTAGCGTTGCAATCTCGCGAGGTGGGTGGCGATCGACGAGGAACCAGATCCTGGCCTTTGGTAGCTCAACGGACTCACATGGTTTTCCTGAGAACTGGGCTCAGGCTCCTCTTGTTGGCTTTGCAACAGATTCAAGCTTTCAGTCTACATTACGCCCAAAAAGGAAGATCATATTTTGGAATTTGAGGTTGTTTTCATCATTTCTGTACCGCCAGGTAACAGAAATTCCATGGATGGCAACATTGGTTGGCTGCAATTGAGCGTAGGAAGTAACTTTCACTCGTAATCAGCGCTGCTATAGCATGTGGATAGTTGATTCTAGCGGTGATCTGGAAAACAAGCCAACCACAGTTACGATCGAGAGTGAATGTCGGCCTTCAAATCTCCCAAACGCTGTTCGAGAAAAGGATCGATTTTGCCCGCAAATACCCAAAGACATCCAAATAATTTGGTTGCATATCGGCGTTGTATAAAACAAAGGTGCTGACTAGGCTTATGAAAGTAATTTCTGATAAGAGATCAAGTCCCGACTTTCCTAGGAAGAAAGGGTCTACTGGAAGTGTTCAATTGGGATAACGGTTATTACGGTCACCTTTTCAACACCTCAACACCACCTGATCGGACCAGGCGGCATCAACCTAATTGCCCTTTTCACATATATAATAAGCATCGACTAAATTCTCATCTGCCTTTTATTCTGCTTAAGTTTTCCTATCGCCTGATACACAATGACCAATCGCTTTTGGTCCGCTTAGTTCAAGCAAGATTTGAAAAATATCTTCGCTCATTATATTGAGTGATAGCCTAGACATTCTTCCAAGCTTCTCGTGATGTCTCTTCTCTCTCTACCACCGGAACTGGCTTTTCTCATTTCAAGCCATTTGAATTCGCCAAAAGACCTTCTCAGCTTCCTCCGGACTAGCCAAAAATTCTACCATCTCCTGACCAACGAGCTCTACCAAAATAATATCCGCTCTGGTGGTGGATCAGCCCTTTTGTGGTACGCCAGTCGCGGAGACGAACTGGGAGTGCGGAATATGCTACGTGCAGGTGCGAATGTTAATCTTCGATCACCGAATCGAGCACAGTCGACAGCTCTTCTGGAGGCTGTCAATAACAAGCATATCGGCGTTGTACAAATCCTGCTAGAGAATGGGGCTTTGCCAGATGTGGCCGATGCCCGATCTAGAAGACCCTTGGTTTTGGCGACAAAGGGTCCTAGCGACGTGGCGATCACCAAGTTGCTCTTGGAACACGGTGCCATGGTCGATCCCGTTGTGTTTGATAAGCATGCTCCATTACTGGAGGCTGTCCGGTCAAATCAGGAGTCCAAAGTGGTATTGCTTTTGAAGCATGGGGCTGATATACACATCTTGGACCGTCGAACTGGAATGACCCTCGTGCACATCGCTGCTTCTAAGAACGCCACCCCCGAAATTATAAAGATTCTCATAGCCTCTGGTATTCAAATGGAGTCCCAAGACAACATGGGTAGAACGCCACTTCAAATAGCAGCTGGCCATTCATGCACACGTGCTGTACGCCTGCTATTGCACCTAGGCGCCAACCCGAACTTCAAAAACATGCATCAGTATTGGAAAGGGTGGAGCGCTCTTTTCTACGTTGCAACAAATCTCAGCATTCCCGGAAATGGCAGGAAAAGTATTATTCGAGCACTGGTCGTACATGGGGCTGAGCTCGATACCAGAAATCATGCCCAAAAGACGCCTCTACTCCATGCCGTCTCTCAGAGCGCCATAAAACAATCGCAAGCTCTTGTGGAATGTGGTGCCAGTATTATGGCTAGAGATGCCCACGGAGAGACTGCCCTCCATTTAGCTGCTTCGTCATCGAGTTGGTGTTCCGGTATGTTGGGCTGGCTTGTCGATACCGGCGCGGATGTAAATTGGTCCGGCGGCAAGCATGGTGAAACTCCAATTTTCAATGCTATTAGGAATTTTTATACCCGACAAGGCATGGAATGTATTCGAAACCTTCTGTCGCTTGGAGCCGATGTTCACTCTCGAAACATGGATGGGCTGACGCCTCTGTCCCTGGCTGTGCACATGGGATCTATTGAGTCAACAAAGGTTCTATTGGAACATGGAAGCTGTGCAAATTCGAGAGACAAGAATGGCCAATCACCTCTGCATTATGCTGCTGAAGCAAGGAATGCCCACAAGATTGTCGAACTTCTCATTCAATACGGGGCCAATGTGAACTCTCGGGATATGCTTGGATTTACGCCACTGCATAGGATTGTCGCGAAAGAAGAGACGTGGACAGCAGCGGGCGAATTGTTAAAGGCCGGGGCTGACCGATACGCCATAGCAGATGATGGAACGTTCCCTCATGAGATGGTTCCTGATGGCCCTTGGGCAGAAACGAAACGCTCCCTGATCCGTTTTTATACGCCGTGACTGGTGTCACCACGCTCAGTCATCTTTGATATAGTTCCTAAGTTCTGTTCGTATAACCATTGCAGATTGTTTCTGGAGATATAGGTAGGATATTGCAAAGACTATAACTGTATTGTATTGTATGTCTTGTCTTGAAGAGGCCCATCCCTTCAGCTTTGTTATGGTTCGTCAACTTGAAAAAATCGAGCTGACAAGCTTCTAATCATATACCTCAAGGGTTTTCCGGTCGATGATGATCCCAATCCACCGCTGGATCTCGTTCACGAACTATTGCTCAAACAACAGGCAGGTTTTTAAGGTCCAACGGATTGTATACCTCATCTTTGGACACGCTGACCTCAACATTCGGCCTGAACTCAATTCAACAGTAAGCACGCTAATATCAACGCGGAGCTATTCAACGTTGAATGTCGAGTTCACCGGATATGACCAAGTCAATCAGCCATAAAGATTTTCCACATCACTGCATGGTCGTTCGTCAAGGACTGGTGAGTCGTGAATGCAAAAGCCAGATTAGTTTCATATATACCCTACATCGGAATTAATCTTTTTCTCGTCAAATCATCAATGAGGATACCACCATCTTTGTTCACCACGGTAAACGGTCTCAGGGAGAATGTCTCGGAAAAATAATTCAAGGGCCCCTATAAAAACAGGCGCACGACCCAGAGACAAAAACTCATTACTGCACTCTGGTGCAGTGCTCCAAATGCGTACCCAACAATGAGCAATCAAACAGATAAGGATCGCATGGATCAAAATAGTTCCACGAGCACGAGTGACGAAGCGAATCTGCAGTTAGATCGTGAATTACGGCAGAGCGGAGAAGTTTTGACTGAGCCTTCACAGCATACTATCCCAGTTGGGATTTCACCTGCCTACGTGAAAGGTTGGAACACTGCAGATGCATTTCGGGAGCTGTATCAAAATTGGTACGTGACATCTATTTCTTCGGATAATTGCTGAGACAGAATAGGAAAGATGCTATTCTGGAAAGATTTCAATTAAATCGACTGGATTTCAAGCTATTTTTTGAAGACAAAAAAGACCATTTCTCCATCACAGTTCCAACTACCTCGAATAGCAACGGCAATCGGCGAGCTCTGGGGTTCATCAAGTACGAGAAAATGACCGGCCGAGTCATCTTGGCCAACTCCTGCATGCAACTTCCCCTCGAGTCTCTCGTAATGGGGTTCACATCCAAGGATGACGACGAACAGCTGGCAGGGTCCCATGGCGAGGGGCTCAAGCTGGCTGCGTTAATAATGAGTCGAGACGGATACAAAGTGAGCTTGGCTGCAAGCCACCGTAAGTGGAATTTTGGTCTTCATGGGAAATACCAGTCTCTCCGTTGTATCATCACTCCTTCCCGAAAGATTAGTCCTGCCATTCAACGTGAGCCAGCTGATGATATGGCAAAGCTGCGCTTCCATATCGAAAGAGACATCACGGTGGTGATTGGGGCTGGACGTGCCAGTCATAGTCGACCGATATCACCCGAAACGTTCTTCGAGTGGCTGCAGGTCACTCTCGATATCCGCAGGCTCTCCCATCCCTCCTCCGTTGTAGAGACACCTCAAGGAGACTTGCTTCTCGATTCGCAGTTTCACGGAAAGCTCTTCCTGCATGGGGTCCTGCTACCAATGTCTACTTCAAGGGCCAAGCAATTCAAGTTTGGTTACAACTTTGCTCTGGGCAAGTTCAGCCGTGATCGTCAAGGACTGATCGCCACGGATGGGGTGGCAGACAACGTGCGGCAAATATGGCAGTGTGCCGTGCACATGCACGAACCAACTCTACTTCCGATTTATGTCAATCTCCTCCAGAACTTTCCCCAGGTGGGCGACATTGAACAAGCCGATAGACTTCTGGAGCCGTCTACCAAAGCCCGTATCTGGAAATACTTGCTTAGGGTGACTGGAAGACAGGAATTCTTTTATAGCGAGACAACAAGCGTCGAGGTCAGTTCACAGTGAAATCTTCAAGTTGAGTATGCACATACTAACCTCGAACAGAGTGTGGGCATGATACGAGAAACCACCGGGAAGAGGCCAACGAGACTTCCCAAGACCCTCTGGAATCTGCTACGCTCAGTTTCACCGATCCGGACTGTCGAGGAAGAGCAGGCAGAGCTTTCCAAGAATGCTGAGATCTGTGCCTAGCCCGAGTCTGCCTTTGTAAAACAATAAGATGGGCTTTAAAAGCCTGCCAGAAACTTTCAAAGGCGGCGAGAAATATTCTACTACTATATGCCAAAGGACTGGCAAGGAGGCTTGATGTGACTGGCAGTCAAGCCGACGCGATTTAAAAGGGACTTCTTGCTTGATTCTTAGCCCCGAACCCGGAAAATACAGTTTGGCCATTTGAAGTCTAGCGTGTACTCAGACGCTATCAAAGCTGTGTATAAAGCCCCCACGGGTAAAGCGTATGTATGGGAAAGAGCAATCATGGATGAAGCCCAACTTCCCGAGGCGGAGTACTCGGCCTTCCCTCTAGTACTTTCAGGATGCAACTGGTTGCGGACTCTTCGAGAAAAAAGTAGAGGCTTTGAACGCGGTTGGTGGGAAAAGGGCACTAAGGGATAGTCACGCGCTCCTTGTAGCACATGGCCCTGGGGTTCTTGGCGTCAATCATGCTCATGCTTGTTGCCTCTTTCATGGTTGATAGACGTGCCATGAGCGAAGGGGGCAGAGCAAACGGCTGCTGATCCCAAGTAAACGTCATTGGAAATCGGGGTTTTTAGTCTAGGCATTGTTACTTTTCGGAAGCAATATAGATTTATGATTGGCCGCATTGTATTCTAATACTTTGACGATCTGGACCTGGTAAGAAAGACAACGAGTGTGTCTAGGTGTAATCTGTTTGAAAATACCTCTTTACGAGATCCGATTACTCAAAAGGTGTGTTTTCGCTCGATGTGTCTTGATTAGCCTGCGTAATACTGGCTCTGTCGTCCTCTAAGTGATCTGAAGAAGCAAGGCTACAGTTTGTGGGCAGCGGGATGGCCTGGAACACCCGGAAGGATTCTCCCGAAACCGAACTTGATCAATAGTGGAGCAGAGTGGTAAAGATCGTTACGGAGGCTAAGGGTGAAATAATTTCGGGGAAGTCGGAAGGTGGACCCCCGCTCTGCTAAAGCCGATTTGGAAATAGCCAAATAAGCAGTGATCAGCCAAGTACGAAATTCCAAGGTGATGGATTGATAAACTTCTCCCTCACGGTTTACGACATGCGGCCATCTCTTGATGGCGCTGCGTGGCAGACTAAGCCCACTAAAACCTATACACAGCTAGCTTCCCTTTTCACAGACTCACTTTCTCCGTAACTAGTATCCCGCTGGTGGCTCAATTCAGAATTGTGGCCCCCGGTAGACCAGGGTTTGTTTGCCTTCCGAATGAGATCCACCCGGCTCGGGATAACTCCATGGTTATTCGCCGGATCTTCCATCTCAACAATATGCGGGCAAGGACTGCTGAAGGAGCCACCGATGATGTCTTCAACTCGACTGCCGAGTAGAGATACGTCCAGACACCTCACGATACCATTTCCTTCATCGAGAGCTGTAGAGTATGAGCCCACCGAACCAAGAATAAGCCCAGTTGTGGCACGCAAATCGGGAATCTTTTGTAATTGATCAGGCTTTGGACCAATAGGTGAGTCCAAATGGGAATGACACTAAACATGAACCGACAGCGGAGCTTCGACGGCATCAGGGGTTTGTTCCATGTTTTGATGGTCACGAAGTCCTATCTTTGGGCTCAAATGGTCCAGCATACACGATGGCGCTTATTAAAGAGACGCGCACGCCAATTTCTGTGGTGAACGAAAGGAAATATTGCTCGCCCCCCCCCCGAATTAGTGCTATTATATACCAGGATTATCATACCTATCAGTAGGTTTATGTCTTTACCCGACCCCACTTGTTGCTGAGCTAGCTATTCACATGTGTCTTTCGGCCAAGCAAAGAGTTTTTGGACCGCGCACTGGTCACCAAAAGTTTATTCAATCGTTTGGCGTTTTTCTGTTTCTATTTTATTTTACATCCAGACCAAAGCTAATCACATGTGAAATCTATCACTTGCAGCGCCGTTGGTGATGGGTTCGATTAGCGTGCAAGAAGATTGGTTAGCTTTCCTGCTAATGCAAGCACATTGAGACTAATACTTGATGCGAGACTTCCCGCTCGGGGAATGTGATGCGGTTCTCGGCAACGAAAGTATTCGCAAATCTTGCGCCAGAGGGTGCACAAAACTTTGGTTTGATGCCATAGCGACGATTAAGAAGATATCTCGCCTCACTCACTGCCTTTGATTAGAAGATTTGTTCATTCCTGTTCGATATTGGGGCTTGACTCGCTCCGCAAAAAGAGCCAAGCCCTGGCGCACAAAGACCCGTTGCCGATCGACAAGCCATTGATCTGGACGGACCCACACATTTGATATTTTCCCGTCTCATCTTTTTGTGTATTCCAGGTGACTTAGCCTACTAGTCCCATACAAGAAGCTTCAGGTGAAGGTTTACCAACCGGACGATTATTTTATGTATTCATATTGATCTGCGTCGGGCACGGTCCGCGCGCGGTGGGCCCTAATGTTTACCCCTGAGATTAGGTCCTCCCCCTCCGTCGTGCCCCATCGCACTTATTGGGCGAGGATATGATGATGGCAATACGCGCAAATCGCAAAGTATTGCTGAGTAATCCGAATACCTGAATGACCAAATAAGTATTCCTGTGGGCAGACCAAGAATGTGAGGCATTTTGAGGAGACTTTGAACGAGCATGAGGCCTGGTGAGGAAGGCAGCTCCTGATTCACCAATCTCCAGAGTTTGACAAACCATACATGGTTCCAAAGTGGTTCTTGGGGCCAACAAGGAGAGGGCGATAGGAAAGGAGATGGCCTAGTTAATACTCGCCAGTCTTGGGCGCTGTTGGTGATCAAAATGGTCGGGATCTGCCGGAGCACGATCATACTTAGACTCGGTACCAAAATTTTTCAGA